ATGCCTGCCGTGCCTGCCTGTGCTCCAGCTGACGCGCGATGCCGCGCGTCGCCGCCTCCGCCAAAGCCTCTAGCTCGCTCCTGGGCAGCGCGTGCCCGCGGCAGAGCAGCAGCAGCAGCCAGCCCAGGAGCGAGCTAGAGGCTTTGGCGGAGGCGGCGACGCGCGGCATCGCGCGTCAGCTGGAGCACAGGCAGGCACGGCAGGCATTGTTGTTGAGGCGCGTGGCGCGCCACCCCACCCGGCACCGCACCGCACCTTGGCTGCCCCCGGGTACCACTTGCTGACCAGCTTGTCGCCAAAGGCAAAGGTGTCGTTCTCAAACTCCAGCCGCCGCACGGTGGCCACCTCCAGGTGGTATCCCGTGGCATCCTGCGCCAGGGCAGCGGCAGGGCGGCGCCCGCGGGAGGTGAGCGCCCATCGGGCCTGCCGCCCCGGTCCTGGCGTCGCTGCGGCACGCGGGCAGGCGGGCCCGCCTGCGTGCAGCCACCCCGCAGCGTGCCCGCAGCCCGCGCTGCCGTGAGCGTGCAGGCAGGGCGGCGGCCATGGCTGCTCCACCTGCCCGGGCCTCACCTCCAGTGCCTTGAGCTGGTCCCCCACCGTCTTCTTGGTGGTCTTGTTCAGCACCGCGGCATCGTCCAGCACGTAGGTGGAGGGGGTGCCCTCGGCCAGCAGGTCAAACTCGCCCGCTAGCGCAGCGCCGCTCAGCGGGGCGGCCGCCAGCAGCGCCGCGGCCGCCGCCTGCAGGAGCAGCGCATCAGGGGCAGCGGGTGCTGTCGGCGGCGGCAGCAGGCCAGCCAGGCAGCACTGCTCGGCGGCTACAGCAGCGTGGCATGCCGGCGGCTTGACTTGGCAGTGCTGCAGTCAAGGGTGGCGGCGGGCCTCACCGCCGCCGCCTTGCGGCCAAGCTCCTGCACCGGCCCCTGCTGCTGCGCCCGGCACGCCACCAAGCCACGAGCCCGCGTCTGGGCGCGGCCAGCAGTGGTGCTGGCCACAAAGGCTGGTTGCCTCAGCTGAACGGCGTTCATGGTGGCGATGGTCTGCAAGGCAGCGGGGAAGAGCAGGAGGAGTTTCTTAAACATCCATCGGGACAAGTCCAGCCTCAAGCGTGCAGCCAGAGGCAGCCGAGGAGCAGCCAGGCGCAGGGTTGGGGTCTCGGGGAGGCGCATTTCACCTCGATGGCACCCCGGCGGCAGAGCACAGACACCGTGCAGTGGCGCAGCCCAGACAACGGAGTGTGGCTGGATGAGGAGAGGTCTGATGTGGGGAGCCACCGGCGATTGCGCGCGCTGGTTGGGTGGAAGGCAAGGGCGACGACCATGCGCACGATTGCAGGCCAGGGCTATTGCCGCTGGTCCAGCGGTGGTGTGTTGCTGCGTCCAGGGCCGCGCGGGGTTTGCAAAGCCCAGCTCCTCCGAGGAACCTTGGCGGCCATGTCGGCCTTTGCGGACCCTGAGCAGGGACCTGGCGATGCAGATGAGGACAAGGACAAGGTGGGCTTGCCGCAAGAGGTGCCCCTTGGCCTGCTGGCGGCCCACCCGCCGCCTGCACCCGCCGCCTGCCGTTGCCTGCCGCCGCCGCCACCCCAAGCATACCCACCACCCAACAGGATGTTTTAGTGGTGCATTCCAAGCTTGCCCTGCTTTCTGCAGCCGCGGGCGGAGGACATCAGAATCGATTTCGAATCTGCGGCGGGGATCCTGGCCTTTGCCTCATACAAGTTCCACTCCTACAAGGTGGGCTGGGGGCTGCCTGCCCGACTCTGTTTGGTTGGGGCTGGCGCACCTGCATGCAATCCAGCCCAGCCCATGCCCACCCCGGCGCAGGCAGGCGCCAAGTTTGTGAAGCGCGCCAAGGACGAGATTGTGGCCAAGAGCAAGCTGTTTGGCGTCAGCGGGTCGCTGGAGCAGAGGCTGCTCAAGGCACGGTGCCAGGGCAGCGGCGGCGAGGAGTATGGTGTGGAGATAGAGCTGGAGGCCACCAGCGGCCCGCGCCTGGACTGGTGCGTGGGGCGAGGAGGCAGCTGAGGGGCAGCAAGGCAGCTCAGCTGCGCTTGCTGCGTGCAGTGAACCGCCCCCTCAGTCTGCCGTGCCTGCAGGGCCGAGGTGCACTGCAGCTGCCCCTGGGGCCAGGAGCACGGGCTGTGCAAGCACTCGCTGGCCCTGCTGCTGGCCCGCCTGGACAGAGCAGCCTGGGTGGCGGCAGGTGGCGACCGTGCTGCGGCGGCTGGCGGGGGCAGCCAGCCTGCGACGGGGGCCGGCAGGGGCGGCCAGCCTGCGACGGGGGCTGGCAGGGGCGGCCAGCCTGCGGCGGGGGCTGGCAGGGGCGGCCAGCCTGCGGCAGGGGCTGGCACGGGCAGCCAGCCTGCGGCGGGGCCTGGCACGGGCGGCCAGCCGCCTGCTGTGGCTGCAGAGCGCCCAGACCCTCGCGCGGCGGTGGCTGCGGCAGCTTTGGCAAGGGCAGCAGGGCCTGCTGCGGCGCCAGTAGCCGAGGCGGCGCAGGCAGCCGGTGCGCCGGCAGCCGAGGCGGCGCCGGCAGCCGGGGCGCCAGCAGCCGAGGCGGCGCAAGCAGCCAGGGCACCGGCAGCCGAGGCGGTGCCAGCAGCCGGGGCGCCGGCAGCTGGGGCGGCGGGGAGCCAGCCTCGCAAGCGCCGGCTCCCCAACCTGGTGCCTGCCGTGGCACCTGCCACCAAGAAGGCAGATGCCAAGCCCAAGGCAGCTGCCAAGCCCAAGGCAGAGCCTAAGGCCACTGTGGCGCCGCGCGGCGGCGGCGGTGGCAAGAGCAAGGAAGGCGGCCAGGCGGCTGCGGCAGCTGGTGGAGCAGGCGGGGCAGGGACGTATGTCGTGTGTCGGAGGTATGCTGCCGCCCTCGTGTGCATGGCTCAGCAGACCAGCCTGGGGCCAGCCTTCCTTGTGCTCCTGTCACCCATCCCTGAAAGCCTGGCAGCCCGCCATGCCCGGCTTGGGGACCATGGTGGCCCGCTCCTGCGCATGCCTGGTCTGGCCCTGCCCCTCCTAACCACACCTGCCTACCTCACACACACACTACCCTCCCATCTATGCCCATGCCCGTCTATCTGTTTGCAGGATGAGGGGCGCGGAGCTGCTGCAGGACAGCGATGAGGAGCTGGTGCGGCAGTGCCACGCAGCGCTGGCCAAGGCTGCAGCAGGTAGGGCGGGCGAGGAGGCGGCCCAGGGATCCGCCGGGCCCGCAGCCGACACCACACGCGCGCAGCAGCCAGCACCGGCGCCGCCTGTGCCACAACAGGTGCAGGCCGTGCAGATGCAGCAGGCCGGGGCAGCCCAGGCCGAGCAGCAGCAGGCCGCGGTCCAGGAGAGCCAGCCGCAGGTGGCGGCGGCCCCCGATGCAGCTGCCGTGCCTCCTCCCGCCCCAGCTGCCCTGCCTGTCCCCTCACTTTTTGGGCTCATGTTTGGCGACTTGTTTGCGTCGGCGCCGCCCGCTGCGCCCGCTGCCATGGATGTGGACGCCACTGCCGCGCTTGGCCCGCCAGCAGCAGCAGCAGCAGCAGCAGCAGACTCTGCGGTGGGCCTGTCTTCCCAACCCTCTGTGTTCGGCCAGCAGCAGGGCCAGGTGCTGGCGACGGGTGCCTCCTTCCCAGCCAACTCTGGCAGCACCCAGCAGTACGATGTGGCCACGCAGCCTCTAGACGACGTCATGATGGGTGGCGGCACCGCCACAGCGGCCGCCCCACAGCAGCAGCCGCAGCCGGCAGCACCACAGCTGACTGATAGCCAGCAGGGAGATGCGGGCATGGGCAGGCTGTCCCTGCGCGAGCGCATGAGGATGGGCAGGCCTGGGTGACGGGCCTCCTGTAGTACCCCCTGTACAGTTCCGGTGCTCTTCCGTCACAGCTCACATCATATGAGATTTGGTTGTGCCTCTTGAGTGCCAACGCTACCAGGGAATGTGTTTACTGTTTGGTTACGGCGCATGTGCCCCGGTGAAACTCAAAATCCATGAAAGAAGGCGAATGAACATGGTTGGAGGAGGCCTGCACTAATTGCGGCAGGTGACAGTGGTAGGGGGCTGCACGCTGCTGCCGGAATGCTGTCTAGAGTCGACGTGTTGTGTTGCCATCAGATCAGTATATGGATCGGCGGCGCTGAGAGATGGGCAGCACAGCGCCGGGAGCCACATCGTATTTGGCTTGAGGATGCCGGCCAGCGCTCCGCTCTGCCTATGCCTGCTGCCCTGGGAAGCACTCTTCAAACTTCTGCTTGGGGTGCCTGCTGTCGCTGTGCTCCTTCAGCTTGGCTGGGGTCATGTTGCACATGAAGGACTGCGAGCAGGAGCCAGGCAGAGAGGAGCTGAGCAGTGGGCCCTTCCAAACCCCGTCGAGCAGCGGCGCAGCAAAGTTGGCAGGCCCACCTGCCGGCAGATCTGGCACACGATGGACAGAGCCTTGGCGTTGTCGGCCAGCTGGCTCTTGCCGCCTGCAGGGCAGAGCACCATGCGAGGGCAAGGGCGGCAGGTAAGTTTGCTGCGTGTGCAGGCAGGTTGGGCTGTGGAGACGGGCAGTGTGGACGCACACCGCACCTGCCAGCTTCTTGTCCTTCTCCGCCTTGCGCTGCCGCGCCGTCGCAGACTTCTGGGCATTGCCTGCAGCGTGGCAGCAGAAACGTGGGCGCAAGAAGGGCGGCAGTGCTAGCGGCAGGCGGCAACGGTGCATGCTGATGCCGCCTTATGCGCACCGCCTGGCAGCAGCATTGCCTACTCACCGCCACCCATGTCGACTTGCCGGGAGCTGAGCCGCTGTTGAGGCCTGCACACAGGGCGGTCGTCGAATGGCGGCGGCGGGACTGGAGGCAGCGCAGGGCAAGCAGCAGCAGTGCATGGTACTCACAGGTGGATCCCTTAAAGTTGCAAGGCGGGAGAGGCAGGGGACGCGGCGCCCAAGGAAGCTCTGGGTGGCTGGACTGGCTTGGACGCGGATTTCGCTCCCAGAAAGACGCAGGAAAGAGGCTGGTGGTGCAGCGATCGCCAGCGATGCTTGCTCTCTCGTTGCATCAGGGGCTGAGCTGGCCTCGCTTCCTGGGTTGCTTACGATCCCTCTCCCCCGCTCTTCTACAACGACCGAGGACGCGCACATTATGCTTGGGGCCGTGTGCGCGGCAGAGGCGGCAGCCAACTGCTGCTCGCCACCAACGCTAGCCACCGCAAGCTGCAGGCAGCAGCGGCCTTCCAGCAGCGGCGTCCGGGCGCAGCCGGCTCTCGGGTCGGCCTGCCGAGACAGGCGGCGAGCTGCAGGGGGCTGCAGCGCCGCTCGGCAAGGGTGGCGCTGCGGCGCGGTGGCCGGCAGCAGCAGCAGCAGTGTGGCAGCCAGCTCACTAGACGAGGCTGATTGGGAGCAGGCGTATGGCCACTCCGCGTTGCGCTACGGCATCAGCCTGGAGCAGGGTGTGCGCGAAACGATGGAGGACGCGGTGCAGGTGGTGCCGCACGGCCGCCACGGCTTCTTCTTTGCCAGTGAGTGGCGGCGGCTTGGCTGCGCCCCGTCCACCACAGGCCCTGCAGCAGCAGCGTGCTCAGAGCAGCAGGACATGCCGCTCGCCCTCGCTGGCATGCACCTCGTTCCCTGCCTGCTGTCCCAGTCTGGCCATGCCATGGCAGCTGTGCTGCCCCTCCCTCCCTCCCTCCCTCCTCACCGCCCGCCTGCACACGCCTCCGCCTCCCCCGCCCTGCAGCCGTGTTTGACGGCCACGGCGGGTTTGCGGCGGCGCAGTACCTGCAGCAGAACCTGTACCGCATCTTCACCCGGGTGCTGGACAGCAAGGGCGTGGAGTCGGGGCTGGAGGTGAGCCAGGACCTTGCGGGCCTGGCCTGCCCCCTCTCCTTCACCCCCATCCTCACAGACAGCTTCACGCACGCTGACGAGGACCTGCTGGCCTGGATGCACGGTGGGTGGCTGGGCGCAGGGGTGGGCGCAGGAGGGGGCGGGCCCGGCGGGGCAGGAGCAAGGGCAGTGAGGGGCGCAGACGCAGGGTGGGCGGCGCGTTCGGCATGGGAGCAGGCAGAGGCAAGGCCGCCCTGGGCATGCGCCCTCCACCCCGCTGTATGCTCACGCATGCATGCCCGCACCCGCCCCTGCCCCACCCACCGCAGCCAACGCGCCCGACGAGGAGGCCACCAGCGGGTGCACCGCCACCACCCTGCTGGTGCGCAAGGATCTGGTGGTGGTGGCCAATGTGGGCGACAGCCGCGCCGTGCTGTGCCGCGGCGGCCGCGCGGTAGACCTCTCCACCGAGCACCGCGTGTGGGGCAAGACGCCCGGCGTGATGGCCGAGATCGAGCGCATCGAGTCGGTGGGCGGCTGGGTGGACGACGGCCGCGTGTGCGGCGTGCTGGCGGTCAGCAGGTGCGCGCGCGGCGCGGCGCGGCGGCCCCGTGGCTGGGCTGGCGGGCCGCATGAGCGGCCGGCCGCCTACGCAGCACTGCCCTCGGCACGGCGCTGCGTGCTGCCTCCCCTACTCCCCCCGCCACGGCCCCACGGCCGCCGGCGCGCGCCGCCCTGCAGGGCGTTTGGCGACATGGAGTTCAAGGGGCAGGCGGGCCTGAAGCTGCTGCTGCAGAAGGGCATCGACTTTGAGCTGTGGGACCAAAAGTTTGCAGACAGCAGGCGCGCGCCGCCCGACCCCGCTGCTGCCGCCTCGCCAAGCGTGGCGCGGCGCACCTGCATCGCGCCTGCCCGCTGTGTTGCTTGTGTGCTGTCTGTTGTGAGGGGGTGCCCACCCAACCAGTGCAGGCACTTCACGGGCAACCCGGTGACGGCGCAGCCCGACGTGACCGAGCTGGCGCTGCACGACAGCGATGAGTTTGTGGTGGTGGCCAGCGATGGGCTGTGGGATGTGATGGACAGCCAGGAGGTGGTGAAGCTGGCGCGGCGCGACCTGCAGCGGGGGCTGGAGCCGCAGGTGCGCCGCGGCTGGGGCGGTGGGGGGGACGAGCAGGCGGGGCGAGCAAGCGGAGGGTTGGTGGGGGCTGCCCTGAGGGTTGGTGCCCCCCTGCCGCTGCTGCAGGAGGTGGCCTCCAAGCTGACCACGCTGGCGGTGAAGCGGGGGAGCCAGGACAACATCGGAGTGGTGAGCCTGCGCGGCAGGGGCTGCCTGAGCCCCTGGCCCGCAAGCTGGGGACTGGGCACTGGCCCTTCGCACGCTGGCCACCGCCCCCATCGACACTTGCCAGCTCCTGTCCATCAACACCTGCCAGCTCTGGCTGTCCGGCTCTGCGCCCATTGCAGGTGCTGATCGACCTTGGGAAGGTGGAGTGGGGCAAGGATGCCGGCGGCGGCGGCCTGTTTGGCAGCCTGTTTGGCAGCCGGTAGGCAGCAGAGCGGGCGAGGGTGCACGAGCGATGAAGAGAAGTGTGTGATGGCGAGCGTAGCCAGCTCGGGCGCAGCGCTGCTCTGGCTCAGCGCTCCGCCCCTTCACTAGAGCGTGCGACACACCACGACCGCGCCCCCGAGCCGAGCCCACACGAATTGTTTCCCCCATACTTGTTGCTAAATGCTGAATGCATTGGAGTTTTGGCCCTGCTGCTTGACATGGCGCGGGGCGTCGCGGCACGACACTGTACACTCTCCGCCGGGAGAGCGTCCCTGACGCTGCATGTATGCTGATTACTAAACTATTAATTTGGGGCCTTAGGCAGGATGACATGCCCGGCCCACTCTTCTTCTTGCACCCTGCAATATATTGACCACTTCAGGAGGGGCGGCTCGCTGGCACACCGCCGCCGAGTGCGGGTGGAAAGGCGGCGGATGCACTTGATGCATGGATCGGCTCGCCCACCTCAGTCATCCGTGGGCCTCAATTGCCAGGCCGTGCTGCCAATTGGCCTCCCCCTGCTCTGCCCGGCCCTCCGTCTCCCCTACCCGCTGCTCCCGCAGCCAACATGGCCCCGCTGTTTCTCACCGTCGCCCAGCTGTCCCACACATTCTGCCCTCTGTCCACGAGGCGCAGCAGCCAGCTGCCGGGCAGCCAGGCTCGGTCTGTGCCCTGCAACCGGCTCTGCAAGGCCATCAGCCGGCAGCAGGTGACGGTGAGGGCGGTGTCGGAAGTGATGGCCTCCAACGAAGACGCCACCAGCAACGGAGCCAGCCTGGAGCATGACCGGCTGGCGGGGACCAGCCGGGCCACCAAGGCAGTGCATGGCGGCGAGCGGGCAGGCAGACCGCGGGTGTCCGGTGCGAGCTGCGCGGATTGCTGGCCGCAGGGGCCTGCATGCAGCAGCGCGGGCAGCCGGCGGCGCGCGGGCCGCCGCCACCTGGCCGCCCGTGTTGCTGGTTTGTGCCCTGGCGATGTGGTGGCTGCAGAGCGGCTGCGCGGGGCGTGCATGCATACATGATCCGCTCGGCGGCCGGGGGGCGCCCGCGCCTGCGTGCCACACATGCGCGACGGCTGGCCGAGTGTGTTGCGCCCCGCATCTCCCCCTGCAGACTCGCTGACCACGCCCATAGTTCAGACGGCGACGTACACGTTCCAGGACACGGCGGAGTTGATAGCGTACCAGGAGGGGCGGTACGGCAGCTACGAGTACGGGCGGTACGGCAACCCCACCACCCGCGCCTGCGAGGAGAAGATCCGCGAGCTGGAGGGCGCAGAGGACTGCCTGGTCTCCTCCTCGGGAATGAACGCAGCCACCACGGTGGGTGGGTGCGCTGCGCCGGCAGGGCGGCAGGGGCAGGCAGGCAGGCGGCGATATGCATGGGCAGCTGGGGCTGGCGCCCTGGCGGCGTGGAGCAGCGGCGGGGGAGCAGAGGCTGGGGCAGGCTGCGCTGACTGGCCTGGGACGCTCTGCAGGCCGCGCTGACGCCCCGCCCCGCCCCCGCCCCCGCTTCTGCGCGTGCAGATGCTGCTGGCGCTGGTGCCTGCGGGCGGGCACATCGTGACCACCACCGACTGCTACCGCCGCACGCGCCAGTTCATCCAGACGGTGCTGCCCAAGATGGGCATCTCCGCCACAGTCATCGACCCCGCTGACCTGGCGGCGCTGGAGGCGGCGCTGGAGCAGCACGACGTGAGGGCGGGGGCGGCGGCGGGGGAGGGCTGGGATGGGGGGCGCCGCGCCAGGCATGGGCAGCAGGGTGGCGGGGCGGGCGGGGTGGCGCGGGTGGTTCCAGCAGCAGCTCGGCTGCGACAGGCAGCAGGGGCCAGCGATTCACTCGGTGCTCCCTCCCCGCCCGCCCGCCCGCCCGCCCGCCTGCCTGCAGGTGTCTCTGTTCTTCAGCGAGAGCCCCACCAACCCTGTGAGCTGCTGCTGCCGGCTGCCTGCCTGGCTGGCCGGCTGGTCCGCCACTCGCTGCTGCTCATTTCTGTGGAGGCGCTGACTGGCCTGCAGCACCCCACTCTCATGCACACACACACACCGCCCCCCCATGTGGTGCAGTACATGCGCTGCGTGGACATCCCCCGCATCAAGCAGCTGTGCGGGGCCAAGGGCGCGGTGGTGGTGGTGGACTCCACCTTTGCCACCCCCATCAACCAGCAGGCGCTGGCGCTGGGCGCAGACCTGGTCATCCACTCGGCCACCAAGTACCTGGCGGGGCACAACGACGTGCTGGCGGGGGCCATCGCGGGTGGGCAGGGCGGGGCGGGGAGGGTGTGTGTGTGGCGCCCAGCAGGCGGGGAGCCGGCAGCCGGGGGGGCAGGCGGCGGCTGGCTGCGAGCACTTGGGGCGTGCCTGCTCGTGCAGCGGCTGTGTGCTGGCCGTGGCGGCCACCCACCCCTGCCTCCGTGTGCCCCGCCCCCGCCCCTCCCCCCTTGCAGGCAAGTCTGAGCTGGTGGCCGCCGTGCGCGCGATGCACAACGTGCTGGGCGGCACCATCGACCCGCACGCCTCCTACCTGCTGCTGCGCGGCATGAAGACGCTGGACCTGCGCGTGCAGCGCCAGAACGCCACCGCCACCGACATTGCGGCGCGGCTGGAGGCGCACCCGCTGGTCACGCGCGTGCACTACCCGGGCCTGGCCTCCCACCCCGACCACGCCATTGCCGCCGCGCAGATGAGCGGGTACGGCGGCGTGGTGTCGTTTGAGGTGGACGGCGACCTGTGGCGCACCGCCCGGTTTGTCGACTCTGTGCAGCTGCCCTACATCGCGCCCTCCCTGGGCGGCGTGGAGTCGCTGATCGAGCAGCCCACGGTCATCAGGTGGGCGGGGCGGGCGCGTGGGGGCAGGCGGGGGTGGGGAGCCCGGGGAGCCAGGAGGGAGCATGCCGTGGTGTGTGTGTGTGTGTGTGGTGTGAGTAGGCAGGCAGGCTGCATGCTGAGGCCGCGGCTTTCCACCCGCCCCTCAGCCCAGCTGGCTGCCCGGCTGGCTGCCGCCATGCGCCCGACGTGCCGCCGCCCCCTCCCGCTCCCGCCCGCAGCTACTGGGACCAGGGCGCCGAGAAGCGTGCCCAGGTGGGCATCAAGGACAACCTCATCCGCTTCTCCTGCGGCATCGAGTCGGCGGACGACATCTGGGCAGACTTTGAGCAGGCGTTTGCCAAGATATGAGCCCGCCGCCGGGCTGGAGCGGCGGCATGCACGCTGAGCTGGCCAGCCAGCGCTGGCGCCCTGGGTCGATGCCTGGTGATGCCCGCCTGCACCCGCTGCCCGAGTGCTCGCCCAGCACACTGCTGTTTTTGACATATCCGCACTGCTAGCTTCTTGCTCCCCTCCTGACTCTCCCTGTTCCTCTCTCCCCCTGCTCTCCGCTCTCCTTTTGATGCTGATTTGCACGTGTGTCTCCACAGCGATCCGTACAGCGCGCACCAACAGATGGTGCCATTTATAATCGCCTGCAGAATCTCAAGAGCTGATGGATGGGGTGGAGTGGAGCAAGGGGAGCAAGGGAGGTGGCAGCAAGGAGGGAAGGAAGGCGGCGAGCCGATCAGCTGCTCATCACTTGGCTCTTGACTCGTTCAAGTTCCGGATGCCGCTCCGGTTCTCCAGCTTGACATACCGATCCAGCTGCGGGAGGGGTGGGGGTGGAGTGGGCAGCGGCGAGCGGTGCGCGTGCTGTCCGGCGCTGGCAGGCGCCAAGCAGCATGCGAGCACGCCTGCACTCTTCAGCAGGCTGAAGCTGCTGACGTAACCCACGCCAACCCCTAACGCTGCGCTGGAACCCTCGTGCTGAGCCATCGCCCCGCGCACACCCTGCTCACCAATTCGGGCGTCATACTCTCCGACTTCATGCGCCGCAGCTCATTCAGCGTCTTCTCTGGCTCCGCCAGCTGCCACAGCCACTCGGGCAGCTCTTCGTCCGCCTTCAGCGGCGGGTCCTGGCCCTGCATTGGGGTTCGCCAGCTGATGGAGGCAGGTACAGGCGGCAGCGGCAGTGTGCTGTGTGGCCTGCCCGCTACGGCTACCATGCGGCCCATCCCATCAGGCTGTTTTTATCCATGGGCCACCTTTTTGAGGATGTTCAGGCCGGTGACTACCTCCTTGGATAAGCTGGCCATCCCTGCAACAGGAGCGACGCCGGCTTGTCACCAAGGGCGAGCGGCGGTGCGGTGGCGGTGGTGGCGGCGCGCGAGGCAGCAAGCATCCTGCGAGTTGCCCGCTGCTCAACCCGAGTCCCAGAGCTTGTTGCGCCAGCTGCTCTGCCTATTACTGACCGCGCTGCAGCGTGCTAAGCGACAAGAGCTGCGTGATAGGGCGTCCTTGCAGCAGCATGTTGCCTTGATCGCGGGGGAAAGGGAGCGAACAGGCTGCTTTCCCTGCTGGTGAGATGGAGATGCGTGGTGCGGTTCAGGAAGGCGCCGCAGGGTTGGAATGTGCTGGTCAGATGTGTGAAAGACAGAGGATCAACAAGAAGGAGGTAATGAACGCGGGTGTGCAGGGAATCATCATCATAGCATGGCGCAGCGGGTCAACTCTGCCGTCCCCGCCGCCGCGTCTCCTGAGCTCGGAGGTGGATGCAGCCTACAAAAAACAAAAATCACCGAGAAGGACCTGTCACGGGCATTATTGAGTCGAATTTGCAATACAGCAGTGTGTGTCATGATTTTTTCCTCTCACCTTAAGGGCGCTGAACCGCCGCGTGGCCCACGCCACTCACAATGGGTTTGGTCAACGTCGAGGCCAACCACTTCAATAGTGAGAATGATTGCCTGTGCTCAGCTCTGAATGCATCTGGCACTGCATTGGCAAGACTGCGTCTGTTTCTATTCGTCATTTTTGCCCACCGCCACGAGTAGACATCAGCTGGCCGATGGTCTGTATAAAAGCTTCATACGTGGCAGCACCGTACTGGAGGCGCAGCATCTGCCGACAAGCGTGTGCGCTAAAAGAGTGTGCACTCCGCGCAAAAAGCCACTTGTGTCACACCCGTGGGCGGCGTTGGTTCACGTCCAAAAACGATGGGCAGCGCCGCTTCCTCATCCGTTTAATGCCATCACAGGGCGTTACTTCGGTGTAGGATGCTTGTCACAAGCTTAAAGAGCTCCTCTCACAGCTGCTGTAACTTCTTCCCTCATGATGACCTTTCCAATTCCATGGCCGACCTCCAACTTCATAGGAAGTTTTGGGAGCCACATGCCCTCCCCGCCTTCTCTCTCCCTCGTGCTCCACATGTGGGTTCCTGTAGACTTGTTTACGCAGCCTACACGCCGGGAGTGAGCCTGAGCTGACCACCCGCATCGCGTTGTCAACGCTGTCGTCCCTACAGGTGCGGGGACCCTTCCCTCACGCTGTATGGAGTCATTGGGGGGGGCACATGGGTGCTTGGTGCTACCGTTGGGCCTCCCAGCGCCCTCCGGGGACGTGGGTGCCGCCGGTTGCTGCTCAAGCGGGAGCGTGGTCAAGAGCACGGCCAGCTCCCAGCAGCTATTGCACATGCTAGCAGGGCGCCACATAAATGAGCGCCGAGCCGCGCAGCGGGCCTTGGAAGCGCCTGGTGGTGTTCAAGCGCCGCCGCCACCCGCTTCCCCAAACGCTGCAGGGCGGGCGCCGAACGAGTGGAGCCCAGCGGCGCTGGCCGCCTCTGGCCGCCGCCGCCCGCCGCCATGCGGATCAAGGCCAAGAACGTGATGCTGGGTCTGCACGTAGAGGAGGCCCAGCCGCACAGCCTGCCGATGAAAGTGCGGTCGCCAACGGCGGTCTGTCAGCGCCACCCTACCGCCTCGTGTCGGGCGTTGGTGATGGGCCTGCCGGCATGCCTCCTGTGCTGGCCACCAGCAATGCCCAGCTGCAGCAGGCAGGCAAGGCGCCCCAGCCGCAGCCTGTGCAGCCGCCATTCGACCCCCTGCAGCAGCTGGCGCTGCTGCTGAGGCAGGACACCGCTGCAGGGCTGGCTGAGAACGGCGCGGCGCAGCAGGCCGGGTCGCTGCCGCAGCCCGTCGCCACAGGCTCAGGGCGGCCGGTGCGCAAGCGCAAGACGACCACCTTTTCCGACGACATGATCCCAACAGAAGTGCTGAAGCGGCGCAGCAGGGCCAAGGTGCCGGCGCAGCCACAGCCACCACCCCCACCGCCAGCATTGAGGCCGCCGCCGCCGCCGCCGCCTCAGATGGCGCCAGTGCAGCCCAGCATGGCAGCAGCGCTGGCGGCAGCAGCGGCAGCAGCGCCCTCAGCCGCCGCAGGCACCGCCATCCAGCTGGTCACCATGCCGGCACCCGGCGGCGGCACCATGACCGGCCTGGCCGTCCCAGCGGCAGTGCTGCTGGCCATGCAGCAGCAGCTGATGCGCGCACAGGGCGGGGCGGCGGCTGGCGGGCTGCCGGCGGCGTCGGCGGTGCCCGTACCGGTGCCGCTGATGGGCCCCATGCCGTACCGCCTGGTACCGGCGGTGCAGCCAGCACCTGGCAGCCAGCCGGCGGTGCCTGCGGTGCGGACGGCGGCGCCTCGCGACATAGTGCAGCTGGCCAAGCAGCTGGATGAGGAGGAAAGGAGGAGGGCGCTGGCAGCCTCCGACGCAAGGGTCGTGCTGCGCGTGGTGCCCGCCAGCCAGGCGGCCGGCAAGGGCGCCAAGGAGCCTGCCGCCTCTCAGTCGACAAGGGGCAGAGGCGGCAGCACTAGGGGGGCGAGCGAGGACAGCGCCGGCGTCCGCGGGCGGGGGCGCAGCGGCGGCCGCCAGCCTCGCAAGCCCACCCCTGACCTGGCGGAGCGGCGGCTGGACCTGCCCCCCGGCACCTGGCACCCCGGGTTTGAGGCGTTTGGCGGCGTGACACACGTGGACGCAGTGCAGGCGCCCGCGGCGCCGCGCCTGCCGGCGGTGGTGGTGGGCACGCCGCCGCGCTTCAGCCAGCCGCTGGCTCACGACCCGCGGGCCGAGGTGCGGTGCGCGGCATGGGGCGGCAACGCATGCTGCTGCGTGCTGCTCAGGGCACGCGAGCCCCGCCTGGCCGGGCCTCCCCTTGCATCCGTCCTGACCTGGCGCTGTCCTAACCCCTCCTCCCTGCCCGCCCGCCCCCCCTCCCCTTCCTGCCTATGCGCAGTTTGACTTCAGCGAGGACCCGCTGCGCTCCAGCCTGGAGTACCTGCGCCAGGCAGCGCGCACAGCGGGGCGCCTGACCCACTACGGCGGCGCCGTGCAGACGGCGGTGAATGCGGAGCAGCGGCTGTACTGCGAGCGGCTGGGCAGGGCGCACTATGCTAGGTGGGCTGGCGGGCCGGCCTGCTGCTGCCCGCCTGCCCAGGCCGTGCCGCAGACACCGCCGGGGAGCAGCTGGGCGACCGCCACAGCTGTCGATGAGCTCTCCACACCAGTGCCTGCACCCACACGCTGCCGGCCCCCCTGCCTGCCTCCGTGTCTTCCCCCGCCCGCCGCCCTCTCCTGCCGCAGGGACGGGCGCAGCTTCACCCGGCAGCACGTCAAGGGCACCCGAAAGAGCGTGCGCATGCGGGCAGCGCCAGAGGTGCTCATGCCCCCGCCGCCGCCGCCGGCCGGCCAGCAGCGCGGCGGGCGTGGCGCCAAGCCCCCGCGCCAGGCAGCCAAGCCAGAGGATGACACAGATGTGCGGCGGGGCGCCGAGTACCAGGCTGAGCTGCCCGCTGTGCGGCCGCGCCCGGCGCAGCCCACAGAGGAGGAGGCTCGGTGGGTGACAGGCTTGGCCTGCCGCCCCGGGGCCGCCCCGCCTCCGCGCTACGATGCGCAGCAGACGGCGGCCATGCCGGCGGCGAGCGCCCAGGAGCGGTGAGGTCTAGCGGTGGCGGCAGGGGTGGTACTGCTGTCGGCGCCGCAGTGCCGCACCTGCTGCTCCCTGCTGCTCCCTGCATGCGCCTGTTGCTTCCTCTGTGCTGCCCACAGTACCGCCTCTGCTTCCTGTAGCCCACCACTTCGAACCCCACCAACCCCAGCCTGCTGCTCCTGCCTGCACACAGTCGCTGCCGCTGCCGCCACGCCCCCGCTGCTGCCCCGTTGGCGCCAGGCTGCGCTCTCCGCTACCCCAGCCACCACCCCACTGCTGCCGCCACCCGCGTGCAGGGCGGCCTGGGTGTCGAGCGCGCACTCCCAGCTGCGCGCTGCGCTGGGGGAGGAGCGGTGTGCTGCGATGGGCCTGCTGGCCATGGGGGCCGACGCCTGCGCCGGGCTGCTGAGCGAGGAGGAGGAGGCGGGGCTGGAGGCGGGGATGCGGGAGCTGGGGCGCGCCTTCCACGCCATACACCTGGAGCACGTGCCCACCAGGACGCAGTACCAGCTGCAGAGCCACTACTA